TGAGTTGGCAATCAGGAAGCGCGCTCACCATGCTCACCTTCCCAAAGTTCTACTTGATCGAATTTTGGAACCCATGCTATCCGGATCCTAAGGAAAGGCCAGACACGAGGGACCCCAGGATGCTGATTTGCCTGCCAGCGCACTTCAGGGAATATCGCCCTCTTGCTAGCGGAACCAAATTCCAAGAGTTGTCTGGCCCAGATGACGCAATGGTTGCATGCCCTGCGCCGGTGAGATTTCAGAGGGCGTTGGCGTTCCATGGGGCACAAGCTCGACGCGGGGCGTACACTGCTGAATGCAATGCACATGCTGGACATGCACGAGTGCGCTATCGAGCTGGGCGGGCAAGCATTTTCGCTGTCATACGAAATGTACTTGGCAATGAAGGAGGCAGAGTTTGACAAACTCAGCCAATACCGGCGCTGCCGCTAGCAGCTCTACAAAAGGCCAGCAGGGCATCTCAGATCATATGGGTATTTCAAACGGATCGAACATTCGCATATATAGCACCGAGCGGAGTAGAGATGAACACCGTTAAACCTTGTAATTTTATTAACTCCGCATGGTGAGCCGCTATGATTTTCTGGCAGAAGCGTTTGTTAGATATTGAAGTGTTGCTATCACCTTCTCTCGTTCTCGCCCTAAGCTAGCTGCTCGCTAGCAGTCCCAATGTAGCTGCTAGCTACGCCCAAGGTAGCTGCTAGCTACCGCGCGCTTGGATTTCCTGCAGAGAGGCAGCGCGAGGAAAAATACACACCTGCGCTTCGCGCTCCATTCCGCCGTCTCCGTGGTGCTCATAGGATATGTGGTGCTCTTAGTAGTAGCAGTAGTAGTAGTAGTAGTAGTAGTAGTAGTAGTAGTAAAAGGAGCAGTAGTAGTAGTAGTAGTAGTAGTAGTAGTAGTAGTAGTAGTGGTAGTAGTAGTAGTAGTAGTAGTAATAGTAAGAGAAATAAGAGAGAAAAACAGGAGAGGTAGACAGAGAGAGAACGAGAGCGATTGAGAGAGAGAGAGAGAGAAGAGAGAAAGAGAGAGAAAACAGAGAAAAGCGGCGGGAGGCAAAGGAAATCCCTCTGTATCCCGCCACATAAAAAATCTTTTCGCATTCTGTCACACATGAAATTCTTTCATATTCCGCCACAAAGGGGATCCTTTTGTATTCCACCATAGAAGACATCCTTCTGTAATCCGCCACTAAAGGGAATCCTCTGTATACCGCTACAAAAGGAATCCCTTTGTATTCTGCACAAAGAAAATCCTTCTAATTCCGCCACAAAAGAAATCCTACTGTATTCCACCACAAAAGGGAATCCTTTGTATTCCGCTGCAAAAAGAATTCCTTCGTACTCTGCCACAAAGGGAATCCATTTGTATTCCACCACAAAGGGGATCCATTTAAATTCCTTCACAAAAGGGAACCCGAATGCAATTCACATGGATACTGGAAACATAGTGTTTTCACAGAGATTCAGAGAATTTCAACTAAAACCATGCAACACAATTAGTTTCATCTGTGTTTTCACCAGGAGATTCAGAGATTTGTAATAAAACTATTGGTTCTTTCATTGCCAGGCTCAGAGATCTCGGAGATTTTAATGGGTTTCCTACTATGGGTATTGGTGTTTATGAAAACACGGTGAAAACCATATGGCGTCCTTTGTTTTATATTAGAAAACCATTGAAAACCATGTGTTTTCACAGAGATTTCATAACTTTATGAGGAAATGTGCCAACCTCTGTGGAAACACAAGGCTATCAAGGATTTGCTAATGAAAAACAAGGAAATCATGTGTTTTCACAGCGTTATATATATATATATATATATATATATCCATAGTCGGAAAACTATGAAACTCTCTGAGATCTCTGAGCCTGGCGATGAACAAAAACCAAAGATTTGAATTAAGAATCTCTGATTCTGTGTGAAAACACAGATGAAACCAATTGTGCTTCATTGTTTTAGTTGACATTATCTGGATCTCTGTGAAAACACAATGCTTCCAGCACCCATATGAATTACACTAAGATTCCTTTTGTGGCGGAATACAAAGGGATTTCCTTTTGTGGCGGAGTACAAAAGAATTCCTTTTATGGCGGAATACAAAATAATTCCTTTTGTAGCAGAATGCAAAAGGATTTCCTTTCTGGCGGAATACAAAAGAATTCTTTTTCTAGCAGAATACAAAAACATTCCCTTTGTGGCGGAATACGAAGGAATTCCTTTTAAAGCAGAATGCAACAAGGATTTCCTTTATGGCGGAGTACATGAGAGTTCTTGTTGTAGCAAAATACAAAAAGATGTCCTTTGTGGAAGGATACAAAAAGATTTCCCTGTATGGTCGGAATATGAAAGAATTCCTTTTGTAGCAAAATGCAAAAGGATTTCCTTTTGTTGTGGCATACACATGTTGTGGAGAAATGCCACGGAATTTCTTTTTGTTAAGGAATACAAAAGAGATTCCTCTCGTGGCGGCTTCCCACCCCCCCACATCCCAAGGACTACCCCCCACCCTACAACGAATGCAAAAAGCTTCGTTGTAGCTCATTCTGCTAATTTGTGAATAAATTAATGCATGAACTCATCGTTGCTTTTAAAACTAAATCCCTGCATGTTTAATACATGATCCGCACGCGGAGCATGTGTTAAAAACGGCACTGTAAAGTCTTGACCGCAGCTGGCCCTCCTCCGCTCGGGTCAGCCCGCTCGGGCTGGCGCAAGAGGTGCGTCTGGCTCCACGAGAACCCTCACAACTCACAAGTGGGCCGAAGCAGCAACAATGCAGCTGGATGGGTCCTCCCTCGCACTCCGCCCTCCTCCTACGTCTTTGTTGTTGTTCCGTGTTCTCTCCTTTTGTTTGTTCTCTCTCCTTTTCTCTCTCTCTCTCTCTCTCTCTCTCTCTCTATATATACATAGTGAGAACGTATTCCCGACACTCTACTTATGACCTCCCCTCTGGGGACTTCTGGGCATAGAGGAAGACTTGGAAACCATCCAAAACCTTTCGACGCCTACCCCATCCCTCTTCCTTCAACTCTTCATCGTCGCACCGCCAGGGCGGTCCGGGGATCCGCGCCTGCGAAATCCCCGCATGGAGGCTTCGTGGCACTAAGCTGAAGGGGCCCTGGGACACACAAACAAATACACACAAATAAAAGGATACCACATATTTTCCAATCTATTCTAAGCTTTTGTCTTCCCCCCCCCCACTTCGCATATTTTCGCATATTTTCCTGGGAGTCGGCGAGTAATTGTGTCTGTGTGTGTTTTCCCCCTCCTGATAAGCTTCCAACAGCTGCATGGATGGAGGGGAGACCGTTTTCAAAATCAGGCTGTCATCAAAGACTCACGTAACCACGTTAGCTATACGAGCTGAAAGGATATAGGAAAGGTGGGCTCCACATACTGGTATCGCCTGGAATGTCAATACACTTTGCGAACAAAACTTCTCAACCATCCGATGTGCACACGGATGAAGGGCAGATTGCTTGACCTTCAGCCTCTCGTTGAAGACATATTCAAATGGTGCAATTCTAACGAAGATGAGACGACCACGGCCTACGCGGATAGAACGGGGACTCCCTTTACAAAAGACAATCCCAACCTGAGACATCATTACACGTCATCTCCACGATACACACTAACGAAAATCAAGCACCTCACGGATAGAGGCTGAGTCCTGTTGAAAACCGCGGCCATCGAGTCGGGTGTACACACGTTGTTTTGCTCAAAACCTCGATCGCCCGCATGGATGGCCGGCGATGCCCTATTAAACTCACTGTGCGTGGTGAAACGCTACGCAATCGGAATTGGGAATTTGATGACATCCTGAACAATGTGGCTTTGGACTACTACTTCCGCCGCCTTTCGCCAGCGGACCCGCCGCCGTTTTGCTTCCGCCGCCTCCCGCGACGACAGGGGAAGAAACCACGGCGGAGGCGGCGACTCCACGGGCACTACCACGCAGCAACGTCCCCCCTGGAGAGCCTTGCTTGAAGGGGCCCTGGGACACACAAACAAATACACACAAGTAACAAGATTCCCCATATTTTCATATATTTTCTGGGTTTCTGTCTCCCCCCCCCCCCACTTCCCACAGTTTCCCATATTTTCCTGGAATCGACGATTCAATGTGTCTGTGTGTGTTTTCCCCCTCCTGATTGCTGCACCCCTACCTGGCCGCCAGCTCAGAGCGCCTTCCGCTGGCATACTCCGCCGCCTTCCGCTGGCCGCCCGCCGAGGGCCGAGAGCGACACGCTCCGAGAGCGAGGTCAGCTAGCTGGCACAAGGCAGTTTTTCATACATAGGATGTTTAAACATTTCGGATGTTTAATACATGATTAATTCAGGAAGAAATGTATGCATGAACTCATCATTGTTTTTAATGTTAAATCCCTGCATGTGTCATACACGAGCCGCACGCGGAGCATGTATTAAAAACGGCACTGTACGTACCTAGTCGTGAGATCGTACCGACTCGGAGGGTGCGTCGGGTCGGACTGCATCGGCGCGGGACCAAAGAAGAATCGGACCGGCTGCGCCTGGGTGCACAGCGAGCATCGGGCCGCACCAACTCGTCGGAATAGCGGGATCAATTTGGATCGATATCAAATCGGATCGATCGGATTAACAAACGCCCTTTGGGCGGCGGACCTGCGCAGGAGGTTGTAATCATTGAGGCGTCACTGATGTGTGCCAGGTAGCACAGCTTGCCCTTTCGCCCCGTTCCCTCACTCCCTTCCTCCTCCTCCTCCTCCTCCTCCTCCTCCTCCTCCTCATCCTCCTCCCCCTCCATCCCTCCATCCCTCCTCCTCCTCCTCCTCCTCCTCCTCCTCCTCCTCCTCCTCCTCCTCCTCCTCCTCCTCCCCCTCGTCGCTGAGTCTCTCCTCCCTCCCTCCCCTCCCCTCCCTCCTCATCCCTCCTCATCCTCCGCCCTCCCATCCTCCTTCTCCTCCTCTTCCTCCTCACACCCTGCCCTCCTCCTCCTCCTCCTTCTCACCGAGTCCTCGCAGAGACAAGGTAGCTGTAGAGATCGTTCTCGTCAGCAAACTGCGCGGGCGGGCGGACGGGGAAGCGATCGACCTTGCAAGATCCTGCAGGATCCGATAGGGTCCTGCACCCGAGCCCGGGTCAGTGCGCCCGTGGCGCTGCAGCATCCTGCAAGATCCGACGCTCTGACTGACCCCCATTTGCATTGATAGAGGAAAAAACAAATCATAGACATCAGCTTTCGGCGCTCCGCGCGGATTTCTTGGATCTGCGCTGAACTCCCTTCCCTGGCGCGCAGAGCGCGCCAGGGGCGGCGGCGCCGCCGCCGCCGGCGGGGCCCAGCGTGGGGCCAAGAAATCCGCGCGGAGCGCCCAAAAGTTTATGCCTGTCGCGGTGGCTTTCCTTCGCGTCTCTCGAGCCCCAAACCGGGGCCTGGCTGTGCTTCTCCGGCTTCACGGCGCGGATGTGCGACAGGTCCTGCTTGTTGGCCATCAGCGCGACGTACCTCGGCAGCGGCAGGTGCGCCACGGAGGCCGGCGCCGCCCCCGCACGGGCGACAAACTCGGGCGCGGCGCGCCCGGGCCAGCGGCTGCACGCCGCGCGGGTGTGCCGCGGCGCGGAAGCTCTTGCGCAACCCGTCGCCGCGGCGGACCCGGCGACACGCGATGCACTGCGAGCGGGAGACCGTGTCGCCCCACTCCGCGGGGCGGGATGCCGGGGAAGGGTCGTGTGACGCTGACGCGCGGGGGGCCGGAAGAGGGCAGCGTCTCGCGTCGGCGCGCGGCGGGCCAGAGCCGGCGGAGCGGCACGCCAGCCAAAACCACAGCGCCCGACCTCTGAGGGGAGGAGGGAGCCGACCGAGGAGTGAGAGAGGCACCGGCAGGAGGTCAGGCGCGCCGAGGGGGCCCTCGGCGGACGTCGCCCCCCGTAGCACCGTGCCTCGAGACGGGCGAGGGCCTGCGAGGAACTTTTCCCTCGTCGTCGTCGTCCTCCTCCTCCTTCTGTGCCTCCTCCTCCTGTGGCTCCTCAGTCCGTGCTCCTCGTGCATGTCTCGTCATCCTCCTCCTCGCACTTGCGAGCACATCGGAAGGGCAGCCCGGGCACTTTTCGCGTGAGGCCTTCATCACCACGCACGATCCCAAGGCTCGCACCTCCAACACAGCTGCACGGCCGGGGGGCTGGGCATCGCCCGATGGCAGCGCGCACGCTCGCCTTCAGAGGGCAAGTGCCGACCATCGCACGGATCGAGACCGCGCGGCTCGCGTACTGCCGCTGCCGCCTCCGCGCCTCGCCCATTCGCGTGCCAAAGCTTCCGACGATTGCACGGGCCGAGGGCGGCTCGTCTCAGCATGGGGGCTCTCGCCGTAGCGCCGCGCCCACTCACCCGGCAGCTCTGCAGGCAGCGGCGCGGCCGGAGGGCGGTGCTGCTTCGGAGGTCGGCCCTCGCCGCAGGACTGCCTCCGACTCCCTGGCCACGCAGGGCAGCGACTGTCGTCGCGTCTCGGGCCCTCGCGTGAGACTTGCCCACGTTGACCACGATGGAAATCACCGCCTCCGCAAGTTCGCATAACACATCCAGGACGGGCAGAGATTCCGCATTTGTGGGGCAGCGTTTCCCACTTGCGCTCATGGCCCTTTCGGCACTGCGCGCAGCTCAAGCAATTACGTGCGCCAGTACTTCAAAACGTACCCTGGCAGTGCACCCTGAAAGCAGCAAAAGGTGTCAAGAGAGACCTGTGGAACCTGCAGGACATGTGGGACGATCGAGGCCTGCAAGACCAGATGGAGCTGTGAAGCCTGTGGGACTTGCGGGACATGCGGGACATGCGGGACCTGTGGGACCTGCGGGACTTGCGGAACTTACGAGACCCGCGAACCCTCCGGGGCCTGTAGGACCTCTGGGACTTGTCGGACCTCCGGGACAAACGAGCCCTCCTGGAGCTGTGGGACCTGTGAGACCTCGACTTGTGGGACCTGCGGGAGGGATTTGTGGGGTCAGTGGGAAATGCGGAACCTGTGGGGCCTGTGGGACATGAGAAACCTGTTAGACCTGTGGGGCCTGTGGGGCCTGTGGGGCCTGTGGGACCTGTGGGACCTGTGCGGCCTGTAAGACTTGCGAGACCCGTGGGACTTGTGGGACTGGTGGGACCCGTCGGACCTGTGGGACCCGTGGGACCTGTGTGGCCCGTGAGAACCTGTGGCCCGTGAGAACCTGTGGGACCTGTGAGACCTGCTGGACCTATGGGTCCAGGGGGACCTGTGGGTCCAGGGGGACCTGTGGGACCCGCTGTGCCTGTGGGAAATGTAAGACCTTGGGGGCGTGTGGGACATGTGTGTTCTGAGGGATCAGTGGGGCCTGTGGGACTTGCGCGGCCTGCGAGACTTTTTGGAACGGTGGGACCTGTCGGGCATGTGGGTCCTGTGAGACCTGACGGGCCTGCAGGATCAACGAGACCTGCGTGACCTGCGGGGCCTGTGGGACCTGTGGGCGTTGTGGGAGCGGTGGGACATGTGGAACCTGTGGGACCTCTAGGATTCATGGGACATGTGAGAACGATGGGATTTGTTGGACCAATGCGACGTGTGGGGCCTGCGAGACCTTCCCAGACTTGCGAGGCCTGCGGCGCCTGCAAGATTTGTTGGACCTGCGGGACCTGTGGGATATGTGGGAGACGCGGGACATGCGGGACTTGTGAGACTTGCGACAACTGTGGGCCTTGGGGGAGTTGTGGGACCCGTGGGACTTATCGGAATTGTGGGACCAGTGGGACCTGCAAGGCATGACAGACGTGCGAGACCTGTGGGACATGTGGGACCTGCGGGGAGTGCAAGAACTGCGCGACCTGCGAGATCTGCGAAACCTGTGGGCCATGTGGGAACTGTGGGACCCGTGGGACCTGACAGATCTTCGAATCCTGTGGGACCTGCGACCGCCGAGAACCAAACTAAGGCCCTGAATTGTGGGACCGCCGGGCACCCAAATAAGGACCTTGTTTGGTACCAGGGGAGCTCCTTATTCAATTCCGTGGATCGACAGATGTCTCGTGGTTTGGGACCACCGGGGCCCCCAGAACGGGGATTTATTAAGGAACCCGAAGGTTCTTTACGTCCACCATGTTTTCTTGGAGCGGGGGGACCCAAAATTCAAACTCCCCAGAGTGGCCGTCGGAGGCCATCAACTAGCCACCCCACTTGGAAACGCGACGCAGCTGTTCAGCCGAGACCTGAACGCGACTCTGATGCCGTCACCGCCGTACCTGCACTGCATCCGCTAATTCGCAAGCAAGCCCAAGAAACCGCCATGGAGGCGGGCAGAACCCCAGACGGCACCAGCTGACACCCAGGGGGGCCCACGACGGCCTACGATGGCCCCGAAATGTTCCACTGAGCCAAAGAACGGCCCAAGAGTGCCCCCAAAGGCCCCCAAAACAACCCAACAGGACCCCGTGACAAGCCCAATGCGGCCTGAGAGTAACCCATGAGAGACCCAAGAGAGGCAAGAACAACGGACGCAGAATGAGGCAGAAACATAAGGGGACTCACGAAGGGGGGGGCGGAAGAGTGGGGGGACGACAACGAAAACGAAGGAGTGCGTCCGGAAACGACGTGGATCAGCGTGTCACATGTTGCGGCCATTGCACGGGCATGGGCGACGATCTGTCGCGTAGTACGGTTTTCTCGGCGGTACTCTAGAACTCACCGCGCCGAAACATGCACAATCGCGAAATGCGGGACGTGCTGCGAACAAATCGGCATAACACGAGCGCCTGGTTCTTCACGCGCAACCGCAGTGCGTATGACTTGTCAACGAAGTCGCGCTCTCCACGAGACGATTGGGCTCTCCATTTTGAGATGCGCGCAAGGAGAAAACTCAAAACAAACAGTGCGATGAGAGGGAAGGGTAAGGCAAAGGGAAGAGGCCAGGCGAGAGGCGAACCACACAAGATCACCGCCCAAACGAACGTGGCAAGCGCAAGCGCTGAACAAAACAGAAAGAACGACGTTCCTATGTTTTGGCGCGCCGCCTAGAAGGGAAGGAAGGCGGGGGGGCGATAGCCCAGCAGGAACAAACTTAGCGGCATGCTTGACGCTACACGAGGCCTCGCCACGTGGAGGCGCTCTGCCCGCATGCACGAGCGCATCGTCGCCCAAAATCGGCGCAATCACGCCGCGCGAAGCATCGCCGCGCGGGGGCAATCCGTCCTTGCAAGACACGCGCAGCTAACAAGCGAAACCGGCGTTACGCGCCGCCTTAACCATACTGCTACAATGCCGCAGCAACCACATTTTTACTACCACGACCTCCCCTGATCAGCGCGCGCATGGATTGTGGCAAACGGGCCCCGCCGCGCGCGATCCGCACTCAACCTCGCGAAAGCACATTGAAAGGAATCTCCACGGGAAAACCGCCGCAAGTGGCCAGGCGGCAACCTTTCGAGACAGCGTTGCGTCAAACCCGCAACACTCGTCAACGACAGCCGCAACGCAGAAACGACCGACAAAAAACATAATTTAAATGACGTCCAAAACTTCCGGTTGCGGTGGATTCGTGCGCGGTCACACGCGCTGCAGGTCGTCCATGGATGAGATCTCCAGCAGCTGCACGGATGGAGGACAACCCCTGCTCAGAATCTACGGAAGTTTACCTTCGCGCATCGCGCCCAGCGATGCGCGGTAACTTCGCGCCCTGGCCCCGCCGCCTTGCAGGAGGGCGCCTTTCCAACCAAAGCCGCGACGCGCGAAACGCGATCTCCTCCGCTCGACTTGGGGGGACCTAGAGAATTCCGGCGATGTCTGCAGCCAGGAAGACGCTCTCGTTGGACGCAAATTCTGGGGACCTTCCTGCTGCGTCAAACGTCGGCCGACTCGAGTTGAACCCCAGTCGAACCTGGGCCGAACCTGGGTCGAACTGGAGTCGATCTAGGGTCGCGGAAAAAAACACGCGGTGGAACAAACACGCATAAACACACATAAAACAAAACACCCACACCCACACGCACACACAGTGGAAACAAAAACAGCGCACCGTGGAAAAAATGTTTGCGGGCAAAAAGAATCAGACAGTGCGCCCGCGTGTTTTTTTCAACAGTCTGCGCGTGTTCTGCCGCAGCTGGCCATCGGGAGGCGTCAGACGCCCCCGGCGCCGATGGGGCCCGCAGGGGCTTCGAGAGGCCCCGCGAGGCCGGGGGGCGGCCCCCGCTCGGAGCAAGGGCCCGCCCGCGCAGCGGCGCCCGCGCACACGCCCGTCGGCCCGCGGCCTCCGCGGGCCGCGCAGCGGGGAGAGAGACGCGCGGTCCTCCTCCCTCCTCCTCCTCCTCCTCCTCCTCCTCCTCCTCCTCCTCCTTCCTCCTCCTCCTCCCTCCTCCCTCCTCCTCCCTCCTCCCTCCTCTCCTCCTCCTCCTCCTCCCTCCTCCTCCTCCTCCTCCTCCTCCTCCTCCTCCCTCCTCCCCCTCCATCCCTCCATCCCCATCCCTCCTCCTCCTCCTCCTCCTCCTCCTCCTCCTC